TTTTTTCTCCTCCATGGGTAAATAAAGACTCCCTGCTTGTTTCTAGTAGTTAACGTGTGTGTGATTTATCTGAAGCTCTTGTACTGGTTTCTTAAGGACTGCAGGGATGAAACCTACTTTGAGGAGTTCTGGAAACAAACTGCTGAGCAACGCCGGACTGACCCAGAACCTGCAGGAGTGGCCACAGCGCGACGATGTCTCACTCAGTCTGAGCAGAACAAGGACGCCTTTGTGTCTTAAATGTACTTATATAATTTAAAATGTATGGAATTCTAATGGGTCCACAGTGAGTAATGGTCTCAGCCTGGCCACCGTTCCCCATTAATCAAACACAGAAACACACTTCTACATGTACATGAGCCTGTTGTAACAGCGAGGTCAGATCCAATAATTAAACTGTGATGAAAATGCAGCTAATTCACTTTTGTCAGGCTTCCACATGCACGCAGTAAATCGATGTTCCTTCGTACCGTACAGCTGCCAGACTCTGACTTTGTCCTCGTAGGGCAGATCGTACTTCAGAGGGTCTCCCACGGGACCCTGGTAGTACGGCCTCATGATGGACTCGATGGCCGAGGTGTGGACCAGGCCGATGGCGTGGCCGAACTCGTGGACCGCGACCGCGAACAGATCCATCCCGTGAGAGTCTGAAAAGAGACGGAGAGACAAATAATTACACCAAATGTAATCAGCAGGTGGAAAACTTTAGCGTGAAATGAAGCTCCAAACAAATGCAGTCCAAAGGTAAAAGAGTGCTGCACAATATAGACCCTCAGCATTGCTCGTTGCATTAAATCTCTCTAGAAACTGCTTTTTTATATATGTGACAACCATCTTTGTGGAGCTGTAACCATCGATTAGTTAACTGAGATGATAACGAACCACTTCTCCAACTAAAAACAACAAACATCTGGCGGCTCCGGCTTGTCCAGAGCGAGGATTTGTTCTGTTTTATGTCACCACAAAATGAACATTTTGGGGTTTTATTTTCTCAGATTTGATCAATCAAGAAAATATTTAGTGAGAGCAAAATCAGCTGCTGCTCTATCACACTATGTGCAACGTCTCGGCTTGCAGCTAAATGAATGCAACTCGTCCTGCAGCTCCAACTGTGTGTTCATGGTTTATAGGTGGCCTCCTAATAAATCACACACAAGGTCACGAGGCGACGCGAAAAACTTCAGCAAGATCCACAGCGACAGCCCCCGATGTGACCTTTCTGCTCCGAGTGTGTGTCCCAAATTGACCCTGTTCAGGTATTTTTCCGCTCATCTGCTTATGGTGCAAATTAAGAGGCATGACAGACAGCTCAGGAAGCTTTGAGTGCTGTTAGGAATGTGGTGTAGTGAGATAACTATGGTAATACCGCCTGAGTCCCTGAGCCGCCAATCAAAATCTGAGTGCGGAAAGACACCTAAAGAGGCTGCAGGCTATTAAAGCACTTTCCCTCCATGTTCGGCTGAAACATGAAAAGAAAAAGCCTCCAAAAACTCCTTGTCTGACTCTGTGAAGCAAGACAAAACCTTGGGCTTGGAGATTTAGATTTGCAAAAAAAAAAAAATATGGAGAGCTAGCGTGTCAAGCTAGCTTAGAGTTCCTTGGTGGCTCGGCTCAAGTCTGCGTTGGGTTAACCTTGGGTTGGCCAAGGCCTGGGACATGCACTTGTGCTTACAGTATTCACCTGGGGTATTCGGGAGGCAAATGCCAAGTCTAATCTGGAGGAGCACATGGTGCAGGTGAACAAAAGGAGGGATTGAGAGCGAGAGAGAACGGCGGCTCAGAGGAGAGTATGTACCATGTCATCATATTTATGGCTCATGTGAAGCGGACAGAATAGTCGCGACGCCTGCGGACAAAGTCGGAGCGCAGAGAATTGGGCGAATGTACCGGATTCATTTGGTACGTCAGGGAGAGAGACAGAGAGACGGAGACGACTTTTGTGTAGCTCTGCAGACTGTTAAATTCTTTGGGGTTCAATCTTTGTTCTTGCAGATCCACCAGTGACCCATTAAGTAGCTTTTTATCAACCCAAATGCTTTTGTTGCACGGTGCTGAGAATAGAGATTAAGAGCTTCACTCGCTAGGCCTCTAAACCTTTCCCGACTGCCATCCCTCCAGTCCTATAAAAAAAAAAAAAAAACTGGGATCACAGGACTCAGTTGCTTTGATCTTGGTCAAGAAAATCTATTAAAGACTTCATCTGGCTACCTGAAAAACATCACAGCCTCCTGGATGCCCTGAAGTTAGCCTCCAGGGCCGACATGTTTATGTGTGATAGTGTGAACGCCAGTCTGGAGTAACTGACAGACATTGGGAGCTTATGGGAGGACGGTGTTGCTGTTAATACCTCCTCTGCTCGATTGCAGCAGCTGTACATGATCCCTTAATCATATTTAGTGAGCAAATGACTTTCAAACCTAAAAATGTGTCATCGAGTAAACACTGAAGCACCGTCGCTAGCAGCATAAACATATTAAACTTCATATGTCTTCATATTATTGTCAACATGCTTTGCTAAAACTAAAAAAGAAATGAACATATGCGGAATTTTTCCAAGTGTCCAACTGCACAATATTGGAAAGTAAGGTGTCTCTACAAAATATAGATTAATATTTTTGATTTGATACTCGTCTCTGTTTTTTACATACACAGCCTGCAGTTCAGCTGAAAAGTCCCAGAATTTTTGCAAAGTCACGGTTGATCAAAGCTGAGCCACGAACGGCTTCTCAATACGTCGTGGTGTGCAGAATTTTTAGGTTTTTACAGAATTCGATTTTTGCAAAAGGTTTATTTTTGGTGAATTTTTATACGAGAAAAGTAGAATTGAGTGATGCTGGTCAAATAACGCGACTAATTTCGATTTGGTCAAACACGATCAGTTCAAGGACCGCTGGAAAGTTTTCAATCCCACGATTCTCTCCATTATTACAATAATATTAATTATTATATATATTTATATCATAACATATATTTAATATAAATATAATCATAATTCCTGGGGCTAAATAGTGTGATTTCATTGTTTTTTTTGGAAGACGAGATGCCTTTCAGACCCACCGGCCGGCTGTGTTGTTCACGCTCTATTTTATCGGGTGTCAGATCAGCCCGTCTGGCTCGTATATTACAGTCACACCTGAAGTTAGAAGGTGTAAATACTTGGTGACAACTAATCGCTCCCAGAGACCTGATTTATGCGGTGCAACCTGCTTTAATTTAGCGGCTTGTATATCTACACTTAACACTGATGTTATTATTAGGTTTATATGAAGAGCCGAAGCAGCTGCCTGCTAATACTGCGACTGCTGGACTTCTGATGTGGCTCCACGCAGCACAACATGATCTGACATGATAAGGGAGGAAAAGAAAAAAAAAAAGGCTAATTTTAACAGACGGAATCGATAGAACATGTCACAGCGCAGCGTGGTGACAAGACTCACAAGTCCAAATCATTCAGGCCTAGCAGGAAGTACAGTCTTCCTTTGGGGGTTACATTTTTAACCGGATCACAGAGAGCGGCTCAGCGGGGGCTGCACTTCATGCAGCAGCTGAGGACATTCAGCCTGTCAGTGACGGTGGTGGCTGACAGCCAACATCCAGTCCACCATGACACAACACATCGCTCTCCCGGTTCAGGCCACACGGGAGGAAAATCAGACTAAACAAATAGCCGAGCAGAAAGAGATCAGTGCCAGCCACATGCCCGTCGTCTGAAACATCTGTTAGTCCAGAACGCTGACGTCCTGAGTTGGTACCAACGTCTCCCGTCCATGAAGCAACACTTACCCACAACATCCATCATCTATACACCGCTTAATCCTCACTACTAAGGTGGTGGGGAGTCTATCCCAGCTGACTCAGGGTGAAGGCAGGTTCACCTGGACAGGTAACCAGTCTATCACAGGGCTACACTTAGAGACAGACAACCAAGCACACTCACATTCACACCTACGGACAATTTAGAATCACCAATTAACCTCAGCATGTTTCTGGACTGTGGGAGGAAGCCGGAGAACCCGGAGAGAACCCACGCTGCACGGGGAGAACATGGAGACTCCACGCAGAAAGATCCCGGGTGTCCTCACCGGGACGCGAACCGGCGACCTTCTAGCTGTGAGGCGACGATGCTAACCACTGAACCACCTTGCAGCCATAAACCATAAAAACGAAAAACATAAAGTTGGATTTCTTTGATTAGTTACTTTGCAAAAGTTGAAAAAACTTCAACATGTGCACAGTTTCTCCAGCTGCCTACTGGGAAACAATGGTGACTTTACACTCGGCTATTAATTCACTACTTACATTCTTAATTAGTTTCCTGACTCGTTTCCTCTCTAAACACCTCTATAACTTCTATAGACACAGCCTGCAGTTCATCCGAGTTCAGCCAAAACCTTTTTGTATGGAATCAGGTTTGAGCAAATGTTTTATTCTTACCCTGGGGCTTATCATTTATATGTCTTTTTTTCATAAAATCATGATTTTAAGCCTCAATTTAGTGAATATTTCCAACAGAGCAGCACTTCACAGATGAGTAGTTGAAGGTTAATAGTTAGAAATTCAACTATTCTTTCTGTTATTACAGTTTTTAGCCAATAAACGCTGTAATTTGTCATTAAAACAAAACAGCAACATGCCTTTTGAACCTACTGGTGGAGACTCCACGCAGAAAGATCCCGGGTGGGGCGCCCCCTATAGCTCACCTGGTTGAGCGGGCGACCCATGAACAGGGGCTGTAGTTCCCCGACGCAGCGGTCGTGAGTTCGACTCCCGCTCACGACAGTTTGCTGCAGGTCTCTCCCCCTTTCCTGTCTCACTCGCTTGCTGTCCGAACTAATAAAGGCAAAAACGCCAGAAAAAAATCCCTGGTGTCCTCGCCGGGATGCAAACCGGCGACCTTCTAGCTGCGAGGCGACGATGCTAACCACCGAGCTAACACACAACAGCACATCTTCTCTCTGTAAAGTGCTTCACTACCTGCTATCTTCTTGAATCACTACTTCATGCTGCACTTTGCACCACTTTTCAGCCGAGAAACCTTTTTAATAAACATTATTTCCAGCAAAATAAAGCTTTCCTTGAGTTTTTAATCACTAAATAAAACTCTCCTGTACTCACTCTGGTTATATACGGCAGCAGATCGTATCTCTGTGAAGTGCTTTACTCGCTGCTATCTTCTTGAATCACTACTTCAAGCTGCACTTTGCACCACTTTTCAGCTGAGAAACCTTTTAAACAAACATTTTTCAAGAAATAAAGCTTTCTTGAGTTTTTAATCACGCGCGGTGGAGGTCCAAAGCTATCTGTACGAATATATATTTTGTGAACACGTTACTTTGTCTTGTGTTTTTCTCCTTTATGCAGTTCAACCTTATTACGCTGATTAATGATCAGATGTGTTTTCTCTCCCTCTCTCTCTCCTACTTCTTCTCACTGCTCTGCCATATATTCAGACATATTTATTCTCCGGTGGCCAGCTGACTGCTCTCCGAAGCTGTATTTCCTCAGTCCTCCCCTTCAAATCCCCTCTTGCGGTGATTTGGTTTGTCAGACGGTTCAGCCGTTCCTGGCTGCTTCCTCCCGGGTTCACGGACACACAAAAACAAATGTAGGATACATAAATGCATAAGTTTCCTCATGTTGTTCTGTGCTTAACATCTCATTGCGTCAGTACACGGTCTCTCCTGGACTCCAGGTGAGACCTGGGTAATCAATCAAGTGCGCTGCTCATTGTGAAACAGTGTGATGTAACCGCGCCGGTCTGCAGCACCTGAGTAAAGCTTTACAAGGCGGCTGTGCAGGCAGCCCGAGGGTTCGTCTTTGCATCTCGATCCTTGCAGTGTTGTGGTCCACTGTTACACCATCTAGTGTTCTTTATTTTGGTT